ATCTGCTACTGGCAATGTGTGTGTGTGTGCGCGCGCGTGTGCACGCGCGCACTCGCGTGCACGTGCATTGCATTCACCATTCATTCTAGAGCCAATGCCCTCCCCATTGGATCCAGGAGCAAATTCCAAGGATGACAAAAACAGAGATGAGAGGATTCCAGAGAAGCAGATTCCTTCTGCCTGTATACCCTCCCTTCCTTTATACTCCTTTTCTGTCCAGGTTTGCTGCAGCAGGACAATTCATCATTAATCCCTTTAAAGCTGCTAAGATAAGCAGCAGAATAGTTTGAAGGGAAGATGGATTTAAGCTTTTTTGCTAGAACTAGCTCTGAGTTATCACTCGCTCCCAGGCTGAGCTACAAGAAGTCCTCACAGCCAAACATCTGGAGCACCAGGATGGGGGAAAAAACCTGTCACCTCAGCCCCTGTGTTTCCCTTCCCTGACTGATGTTGCTGGCTGCCAGAGGTCAGAAGCACAGTGCCATAGGTAGAACTGATTGCTAGAGCACTATCCCAAACTCAAGTGGGGCAGTGATCTGTGAGGAAATGCCTACTTTGCATGCTTTTAGGAGAGGCGAGTGCAATTCTGGATTCCAGTAGCTCACACTGTGCTTGGCACAAATTGATAATATCCAGTTGCTTATTGAGGCTTCTGTGCTGCGCTAAGTACTTTATTCCCAGACCATCTCATTTAATCTTCACTACAATCCCAGGAGACAGATATTGCTATCTCCAGTAAAATTTAAAGTTAAGATTGTAAAATTTAAGGTTCAGAGAGGTTAAATGATTTGTTCAAGGTCACACAGGTAATGAGTGGCGACCAGAGAATTGGAACTCTATCAGTCCAAACTTCATGTTCCTAACCTCTATGTGATACTTTTCCACAATACATTCTTAATAAATGCTGACAACCTAGGCATTTACCCAAACAAGATTGTCTAGAGCTGTGGATCCAGTTTTTTTTTTTAAGTTAATGCCCCGGGAAAAGGGGAAATGGGCCTGTACTAATTGGAAATTGGTGGAAAACTAACATAACCAAATGTCCAAGGTTTGGGGAATATGGTATTTGGCTCCAGGTGGGTTGAAATCCAGAAAAAGATCCCAGGCTCCATCTTGGTGCTTTCTTGTCCTTTCCCTGTCCTTCTCTTCCTGACCTCTGCTGCCCTTGACCTCATTCCCTTAACATTTGTCCAAGCTAGGGGTTCGTGTGTAGACCAGTGAGAGGAGTCAGAGCCGGGTGGATGTTGCCCTGAGAATTTCTGCATATGCAGAATCAAGGACGGCCACTTGCTGATGGGAGCTTGGCGGGTCAGGTGTCTCTGCTGGAGAGTGTATGCCAGGGATTTGTAGCCGTTTCTGGTGAGGCCCCAGACCCCAGAGAAAAACTGTGAACACTTCAAGGTTATTTACAGCAGCTGCTGGCAGGGCTGCTTGGGGAGATGCCACTTGCTTCTTCCTGGTCTTGTCCCATGGAAAGCCCACTTTCTCCTCACTCCAAAACTCTGCCACGCGTGTCCGTGGCCGTTCTGGGAAACATGGCACCTGATTCCTCCAGCTTCTCTGTCTCTTCTCTTTCTCTGAAAAATCGCCATCCCCAGAACAGGTCCATGCTGTCCTAGCCTGCCCATCATCTCCAAACCACCTGAGATCTCAGTGGGGAAGTTCCTGAAGGTGGATAACTGAATGTAAGTATTAATGTTCCTCACTGGCAGTGGACGAAGAGGACTTCCCAGAAACCCTTGCTTCATAGGCAGCCATTTTGTGGAGATAAGTCTGTTGATAATTCTCATTCTCTTCCTCCTCCTCCCATGAGTGATTCTTAAAACATTGCTCATTTATGGGCAAATCCAGTTTTTTTTTTTTAATATATAGTTAAACATTCAATATGTACAGAAAATTAACATGTGAGAACATAAGCTCAGATGCAATATGAATTACTGTATACACTTAGTCTCATGTTCAGAACCAGGTGTGTTTTGTTAGAGAATAATTCTGGGTCAGGTGAATCCTAGGCTGCCTGAGTCCCCAACTAGGGAGTTGAGGCACAAAGCCCTGTCCATTCTGTGTCCTCTTGTGGAGTGGGAGTGAGGCACATATAGAGTCAGGGGAGTGAGTACACCAGCTCACAGCTCATTAGCTGCAGTTGTCCCACTGAGCTGCCACTCTGCCTTCCCGAGCCTACCTAGCAGTTTATTTGAAGATAACAAGTTGCCTGTCACTGTACGCCATTGTTTCTAATTACTGGTTTAATTAGAATTTCTGCTGAATTCTGTGTACCACTAATTTACCACCTTCTATTTTGCTTACAAATGGAATTCACTGGTCCACACCCCAAAATTCTGCCAGTTACATTTTTCTTTAATTACAAGATTCCTGGGTTCCTGAGGCTTTGAATCCCACACCAGCTCTAAATGGGGCAGAAGCAATGTTTGCTAAAACTACCTTGCAAGAGGAATGAATAGTCACTCCATAGGGTGGTTAAAGAATGTACTGCCAAGTGAGTATTCATTGAGGACATGGGTCTCCCTTACCTTGCCTAGATCTAAAGGAAGAAGAGCAGATGTTCTGTACTGCGTGTGCAACCTGGGGCTGGCTCTCAGAATGACCGGGTGGGCGCTGTCCATGGTCCTGCCACACTACGGGGGCCATCTGCCTGCTAGTAATTTGGGGTTCCAAAGAATAGCTGGAAGGAATCTCCTTGACCAGTTCCCCAAATTGCTTTATATTGTGAGTTTTGGAAGAGAACTCAGTCAAGTGAGGAAGATCCTGATCTCTAGGAGAAATGGTAGTAGATGGGTTCAGTCCACGGTTGACTTCCTGAACGTATCATTTTGCAAGGCTGCATGGAGCACTGCAGAACTTCCCAACCAGTGCTACAGATGGGTAACATGTGGCTCAGAAATAATGATGCCCTCATTCCTTGGAGTAGCCTGGGATGGCCTACCATGGTGGTGTCCCCTCTATGTACCCCAGTGTGCCATGCTAATGTTATTTTCTGTGTCATGACATGCAAAAGATCGGAACGTACCAGTATGTCAGAAAGAAAATAGCTACAGTTTGGTAGATGACAGTCTGAATCCCTGCTCTTCCATTGTATGGCTGGGTAATCTTGTACATGATAGAGGCTTCTTTGTCTTGAAGATAAGAATTGTATTTTATCTCAAGTTGTTGTGAGGATAAATAACATATGTAAGCACAGTGGGTCACCTGTGGCTTGTCCCAGTAGGATGCTTTTCTGCCCAACACTCTACAGAGCTTCACTGAAGGCTGGTGAGGAAAGAGACATAAACCCTTCTCATTTTCAGGAAAGAGACATCATGTTGGGACTGTAATTAAGGGTTTCTGATCACTATTCCTTCAAGAGCTCTTCAGCAGTCCGTTTGGTAACTCAGGTAATTGGACACCCTTGGTTCCCTCTGTCTCTTTCTGAGACAACAGAAAATAGTGGTTTTAAGACAATCCAGGTCAGATGATTTTTGGCAGATGCCGTGAGGAGTCATCTGTCCCCATGGTGGTCCCCCCATGAATGAGGAAAGAAGGGAATGAGGCTTTCATTAGTTGTTCCTGGACTTTTATATGCATATCTGGTCTTTAAAATTTTTCTTTTTCCAAACTGGTATACTCTCATGGGTCCTTTATCTGTCTGAGACCTGGTGTGCCCCTCAGCACCTCAGGTCCTCAGTTTCCCTTTCTCTTCAAAACTCAAGTCTCATCTACAGCCTGATCCACATCACCAATATTGCTTACCTACCATCCCTGTTTCTTCACTTGTCCTACCAGCAGCCATTGATCCCTATAAAAATAGTCAGGTCAGGCGAGGCGTGTTGATTCATACCTGTAATCACAGCACTTTGGGAGGCCGAGGCGGGTAAATCACAAGGTCAGGAGATCCAGACCATCATTGCCAACATGATGAAACCCCGTCTCTATTAAAAATACAAAAATTAGCCAGGTATGGTGGCCTGCGTCTGTAATCCCAGCTATTCAGGAGGCTGAGGCAGGAGAATTGCTTGAACCTGGGAGGCGGAGGTTGCAGTGAGCTGAGATTGTGCCACTGCACTTTAGCCTGGGCAACAGAGCAAGGCTCCATCTCAAAAAAAATAAATAAGTAAAAATAAAAATAGTCAAGTCACGTTACTCCCCTGCTTGAAAACCTCCAATAGCTTCCTATTAACCTTGAAAGAAAACCCTAACTCCTTTCCATGCTTCATGAGTCCTGCCTGCTCTGAACACTCACTGTCTTCCTAGCCCAGCACCTCCCACTCTTCTGTTTTTCAGGGTGCTCTAGGCACATGGACGTCTGTCTGTTCCTTGTACTCACCAGGCATTCAGGTCCTGCCTCAGGGCATTTGCACTTTCTGTTCCCTCTGCTCTGAATGCTTTCCCAGGACATCCACATGGCCCACTCTCTCACTCTGTTCAAGTCTTTATGTCACCTTATCGGAGCATGCTTCCTTCGCCCCATCTCTGTTGCAGCATCCCTGCTGTGCTCCACCCCCTCATACTCTATACTGTATATGCTTATTTGATATACTTATATATACTATCAGATATAGTGTATGTTTGTATGTATAAATTATATATTTGTCTGATTTCTATTTGTCCCTCTGCGCTAGAATATAAATCCCATGGGGCAGGGACATTATTTGCTCTGTTCTCTGTTGTACTAGAACAGGGCCTAGCACGTAATGTTCAGCAAATATTTGTTGAAAGAAGTAAAGGAAAAGAAGGAAGGAAAGAGATTTAAAAAACAGCAAGAAGAATATTTTAAAATCTCATATTTTAGCAGTACCTCTAGTTTATAGGAGTCTCTGGGCTCTATTCTCCTTCCAGGCCAAAAGGGGAGTAGAAGTCAGAGAACTGAGCCTCAGCATCTCCTGTCAGCCCACTGTGTCCTTGGGCTCACACGTGCATGTCCCACCCAGCTCCAGGGCATTGTGGAATGTGGGTGAGTATGCCTTGATTCCTGGCTAAGCCCATTTCCCACATGTTCTCACGTGAAGGTGGTAGTTGGCACTTGTTGATGGCATGCCCAGAGGGCCTGGCCTGAGTTGAGCACAACTCTTGTGTTACCTCATTTTATACTCATGACAAGCCCACAAGGTGTAGCATCCTTCATTCCTATCTCTTCGGGTCCAGAAGGTAAAGCCGAGAGGGGTTATGTATTTTCCCAAAGACTAACATCTCATAAATGGCAGAGCAGGACTTTAGGTTTTCCTGGCTCTGAAACCCATGATAGCATTGAGGTTGAGAGTCAGGCTCCAGGGTCAGTCTGTCAGTGCAGATCCAGGGGCTTTGGATGACTTGCCTTATTTCATCAACTCCAAAATGTATATTTTTGCACATTACCACATCTTAAAATCAGGACATGACATGCAATCAATAGCTGTTTCAACATGGCTGTGGGTCTATGACAGCTCACCCTAGTTGGGTAGAAACCTTCGATGGATCCTTTCTGGTAAGTTCAAGAAAGTGCTAGCATCACAGGATCCTAGATTCAATGAAATATAGGTAATTATCCCTCTGAGCTTCCATGTCTTCATTCGTAAAATGGGAATAACAGTGGTATCTACCTGTTATAATTACTGGCAGGATTAAAGGAGCTAATATCTGTTTGTTGCTCAGCATGGTGGTTGCCACAGAGATGGGACTCAAGAATTATGGCCTATGTGCTGTGTTATCATTGTTATCCCACTCTGCCTTCAGAAGTTCCCCCAGTGGATCCCTCAGCACCTGAATTCCAGTAAAGAGAGAATGCATGGATTGCCAGGGGGTGGGTCCTGGGGCTGCCCTTGTTTACATGCACACAGAGCATGCGTTCTCCCACGTGAGATGGTAAAATGGACCACAAGATCTGTTTGCACTGGCCACACCCACATTTTTCAGTGCCAGTTCCTCCCCCTCTGGACCATCTGCCCCCTTTCCTGCTTCCCTTCCTTCTTGACTAAGAAAACAAGATATCGACTGAAGAGAACAGACTCGGCAAATGCAACAGGAAGGTAAGAAAGGGCTGCATAAGGTGCCACTGGCTCCTCGGCTAGATTTCTTGTTTGGAATGGTCCCACAAGTCCCAAGCCATGCTGTGCCCACCCAAAGATGATTTCCCTGAGGTGAGGATGGATTCTGTCTACAAAGTAGGGAAGGTACAGCACAAATACTGGCTCTTTTGAAAGTGGCAAAAAGTCACAAAGGGATGGCCAGGTTTCTTAGTGTATCCTGGCTTTCAAACTGTCACTTGGGGCATCCTTGGGGCATGATATGGTCTTGGCATCAGAATATCGCATCAGGAAATGGAAAAAACTGGGAGCTGGAAAAACACATCAGACTCCAGAAACTTTGGGGAGTTCAAAAATAGATCAATTCATTTATGCACTCATTCAATTCAATAATGTCATATTTATCATGCTCATATTATAATAAGATACCAGAATTTGGCCTTGCAGAAGCAAAGATGGTGTCAATTGAGGTATGAAATGGAAAACACAAACCCAACAAATCTGTGAAATGGAGTAAAAAAAATCACCACTCTGTTCATTTGACTATTCAATGAGCTTTTGTTTCTCTTTCTCCTTCCATCCATGTGGTAACCAGATGCAGCTGGTAGGTAAGCAGGCAAGCACAGCTCCTTATTTTACAGATGGCTTCCAAGTCTTGGGGCTCTCCCCATGTGTGCTACAGGGATGCACTGGATTAGAGTCCCCCTGGCTGGGACATGCAGACTTCCAGTAGGTTCAAATGTCTCTCTAGTCACTGTGTTTTACCCTACCTCTTTGTTTCAAAGGTGAGGCAGTAGTAAGATTTCTACATGAGAAGCAGGTTGTTCTCAGAGGATTGGAAAGCAGGGACACTGGAACACCTGTAAATACCATGTTGTGCCCACAGATAATCTGTGTGTGTGAGGCACTGGGTGGGTAGGAGCAGTGAAGCGTGGGCACCAAGCTGAATGCACCTTTGATCCTGCCTCAAGGAGCTTGCTGTTTAGAAAAGGGATCAGGCATAACGACAACTGGTTGTACCAGACAGCCAAATAGTAAAATAGTGTAACAGAGTGTTACGAGGAGTGTGCTGAGAAGGGCAGAGCGTTAATGCTCACTCACAGACTCGCAGGAGCTGTCATAGAGGCGAGGGGACCTAGAAGGCTTCAGCTGTCAGGGGATGGGAAGTGGTTCGTCTAGAGTGAGTGGTGAGTGGGCTGGGAGGAAGTGGAAGCTGAGGCCCAGGAGATAGAGCGGGCCCAAATGCCTTGGAAAGGGCCTTGGGCTCCCTTCAGTAGGCAGTGGGAGTGGGGCGGCGTGGCATTTCCAGAAGATGCCACCGAAGGCAATGTGTAGGATGCTGGTGGGGAAAGTGAGCTGGGAGCCTGCTGCAGACATCTAGCCAGAGAGCAGGCTTGAACCAGAGCAGGGGGTAGGAAGAGGACAGAGCTGAGCACACTGACAGGACTTGTGACCTGGGTCGGGGTGGAGGAAAGAGAAGTCAAGAAGGGTGTGGGGTCCCTGCCTGTGTCCTGGGCCAGAAAATCCAGGGGCAGAAGCCTCCAAGTCAAGGCCAGGCTCTGTCAGGAGCAGTTTGCCCCAGGTGACTGTCAGAGGTTTTAATAAAACAATTAAAAATAATTTGTGTCTCTGATAACAGTCCGGCCTGTTTTGGGCTCAGTAAAAGCTCAGAGGCTCTGAAGTAATTAGGAGAACAGTTTGGGCCACAACTGCCTGTCATGAAGAAACCAGGAAGCTGCCAAGCTTTCTCTGACGTGGCTCCTACTCACTGCCGATTCTACCTGAGTTAGATGTTGGCTTTGAGGTCCTGAGCAGGGACCACTTCCACTGCTCTCCTCTTCTTGGGGGCTCTTCAGGGTGCCTGTTGGAACACCCTGAAGAGGTGCTTTTTAAGGATGTGCTTGGCCACAGCCACTCTTTCCAGAGCCACAAGACCCAAGGGTAGCAGGGTGAGGAGCACGGGCAGGGGCTGGGCAGGGTGGGCCTGTGGTGTCTGTGGTGGTTGTAGTTAGGTGACTGCCTGCTTCCCCAAAATGGTGGCTCCCCCACTCACCTCCCCTGGGGAGTCTAACTCGGAAAGTAAATGATTCTCTTTGTCCTTTGAGTTACCTGAACCTCCCTAGCAAGAAACACCCCAAGCCCAGGAGGCGGGTGCTCAGGGAGCTGCCTCCATCATTACAGAAGGGCCCCGCTTCCCTTCTCCTCTGTGGCTGCTGTCAGCTCCAGGCTTTGTCCTGGTGCCAGGGTGAGAGCAGCCATTCCCCACCACCTTGAGCTAATTGCCGGATGCTGTGCTTGAAAAATTTTCATGGAGACCTCACCCCTCTGGCAGGAGATATTTTTACCTGTCTGCCTCCCAGTCACACTATTTTTTCTCCTTTCAAGAAGATTCGCAGTTCACTTGCTCCGACCTGTTTCTCTCGCAGGAGCTATTCTGAGCTGCAAGCCACCTCTGTTGCTAAGTGACAAGCTGGCACCGAGGGCTTGCTCGGCACTCGCGCCCCTCTGCGCTGTGCTTTCAGGGACGGAGGCACTCCTTTCAGAGAGTACCTTGCAGCTTCATCATCCGACGTGTTGCTCATGAAAGTCACTTCACAACCCACCCCAGCTACTACGGGGGGATAATTAGAATACAGCTGGGCTGTCTGTCACCACATCTCTACCGTGCTCCAGTGGGCTCTCAGCTGATGGAGGGCGGCAGGGCAGATAGAACTTACCTTTCGCATCCACTGTTACAGGTGCCTGGGGCAAGTGGCTCCTTGCTCACACCCACAAGCGGGAGGGACTCTCAGTGGATATATGCTAGAGCTGAAAGGGGTCTTGGAGGCCATCTGTGCCAACCCATTTTACACACAGGAAAACTGAGGTCTGGGGAAGTTAGGGCAATGGTACCAGTTTGCACAGTAGGTTGGTCAAGCCCAGTACCTAGCTGGCCTGCTGATGTCTGGATCGTGGCTGGTTCCATGAGATGCATGGATATGGAAAGCGAGGAATCGCCCCTCTCAGGGTCCTTCTCTGATCCTGATGCTCCTCACAGACAAGGCTTTGGGGTCATTGGCTGGGTACACTTTGGATTTCCAGGCTCTGCCTGCTGTAAAAGCTGACCTTTCACCGGCACATGGCTTCAGGGAACTGGGGGTGGGGCAGAGAGGGTTGTTCTAAGTCACAGCCTCCGCTGGGGTATGAATTGAATGAGAGCTGAAGAAACGGTACCATTTGTGAGCGCCTCTTGGGTGCTGCAGGGTTCTAAGACCAGTACAACCGTATCCTCCTCACAGTACGGTGAGGTAGGCACCACTGACACCCTCCCTTGACATATGAGGAAACTGCAGCTCAGGGAGACTAGAAAAGTTGCCCAGGCCAGGTGGCTGGCACGCAGTGAGCCAGGGTTGGAACCCAGGCCGTCTTACTCCCGAGCAGGATCACCAACCCAGGTTGTAAAAAATAAAAAATGGTTTTAAGTGGTCTCAAGCTATTCCAAATATGAGGTACATTTTAATAACAATAATGCTTAACTTTTACTGCAGGCCTTGTTTTTATTAATAATAATATTGCTGGTCTTTCGGATCCAAGCTGGGAGCCGTGGGACCTTTGTCTAGCTTTCTTTGACACTGGGGTATGGTGTGTGGTAGGTCTTTCTAGGGGCTGCCCTAGGTGGACACCAGTTCTGGAGAAGAAAGTGGGCATCACTGAGGTGGTGCAGGATGCTTCTCTCCACCCGCCTCCGCTCCCACGGTCAGCTCTCTTTGGCCTTTCTTGAGAAGAAATGGGATTGACAGGATCAAATATCAATATGGGGACTTACATATTTTTTAAATGTGTAAAGGTAAACAATGCAAGACTTCCAGGCAGTGGCTGCTACCATTTGGGTCCTTTCTGTGTGCCAAGCTCTGTGCCAGGCACTCTGTGTGTGGCCGCTCCTTGGACCCTCACAGCAGCCCTCCCTGGGAGATGAGAGGCGTCATTAAATGCAATCTTTTCACCCATGAGGAAACGGATGCTCACATCAATAAAGTGCCGTGTCCAAGAGAACACAGCTAGTGTGTGGCCAAGGCCTCAGGGCTGCCCACCTCCCTCAGAGCGCCAGGCCCAGTCCTCACACACAGCACGGCCACGCTCCTCCCTCCCCAGGGCATTTCTCCCCGTCTCTGCCTCTCATTCTGCCCCGCAGCTCTGGCCACCTTGCTGTTCCTGGAATTCCCAGGGCTGCTTCCTTTTTGGGAGCTTTGTGTCTGCTGTTCGCTCTGCCAGTGCTCTTTCCTGTTATTCATGCCTCTGCTCAAATGTCACCTCCTCGGAGATGCCCTTCCTGACTGCCCCCCCAATCCCCGCATCCAGCATAAAAGAGCTGCCTGCCAGCTTGCTGCACCCCTCCGGTGTGATTTTCTTTACAGCGTTTATCACCCCTGGCCATTATATTACACATCGATTTCTTTAGTATTTGGCCCTTCCACGTGAAATGCAAACTCCACAAGAGGAGACAGTTTGCCTGTTTTGTTTGCTGCTGTATCCCTCACCTAGAACAGAGGCTGGCATATAGGAGGCACTCAGGAAATGTATGTCAGGTGAGTGAGTGAGTGAATGAAGTCTCAACTCCAGGCCTGTCCGGCTTCACAGCCCATGCCTCACACTCCCACACCCGGTGGTCTTCTCCCTGTGTCCCCCACCCCTACTGAGTCTGACTCTGTCCCAGACAAGGCTCTGGTCAGGGTGTTAGGAGAACCTGAGTAGCTTCGGGCAATTCAGTTCCTCTCTCTGGGCCTCAGTTTCCTCAGAGATAAAATGGGAACATTGAGCTGGACAATTGCTAGGTCCCTTAAGCTTTAATTTCTGAGTCTGACCCTGCTGTCACCTGGGCATATTCACTGGACACAGAGGGTTCCAGTCATGACTGCAGCCCAGCCCAGTGCCTCAGCCTGGAGGTTTGTACAAGCCCTTTGCATCCTGCAGACCTAATGGCACAGGAGTCCTTGGGCCCCCATCCCTCAGTGTGGGATGCGCATGGCATCAGTGACATCTTGGGAAAAAGGAGGAAGCTCGTGTTAGCTGATGCTCTGTGGTTGCCGGATGCTGCTGTAGGTATCCTTCTCTGGTTTACCAGAATGTCCTTGAGTCCTCCTTGTTTAAAATGATGCTTTTTTTTTCCTCCCAGCCCTTTCTCATCTTGGTGACCGAAGCTGCCATTCACTAGGCTATTTATGGAGAAACATGTGCTCCAGTTGGTCAGCAGCAAGATAAATTCTGCAGACTTGCAGGAAACCCCCTTGGTTTTCTCTAGTTGTGGCTTGATGATCAGTAAATCATACCTAATGCACTGCAGATTGCTCTGCTCAAACTCTGCTGCAGGCAGAGCGGCCGAAGACAGGCTCTGAGCCAAGGAACCCTAGTGATTGTAGGCTCCAGAGGGACCCCCACCCTCTTCCCAGATGTCATCTTTAGTAACAGCTCTGGATGTAAGCTGTAGGGGAGGGGGAGATGCCTTGACAAGCAGCCATTTCTCTGTTTGCACGCCCTGCAGACGGGGGACCTGCTGAGTGAGGAGAGGAGCCCATGCTGGCAGCCCAGGCAAGGACACAGGCCTCTGCATTGCGTAACTCCTAGGGCCGCACTTCACTTGTGTAGCACAAGCAACACGGCAGCCCTGGGGGGAGGCTGAGGGCTGAAAGTTCTGCAGATGCACAAGTGCCACCCATGGGGCACCCTTCAGGACACAATGGAGTGTTCAACTTACCCGCTGTGAAGTGAGTCCCAGCAGAGAGCTTCTTACAGGGAATTCCGTGGTCCTCTAACCAGGCTGGCCCTGTCATCGATACTCCAAAGCCGAACCCTGTCTATTCTTGAGGTGTGAGGGGGCAGTCACTAAAGACTCACTGTCCCCTTGGAAGAGGAGGGTAGCAGGTGTCACCTGCCAATGTGGTCCAAGACCTGGCTGAGGGAGGGCTAGCCAACCCCATAAACCTCCCAGCTTCATTACATGTGTAACAGGGCGTGGCTGGCAGGTCTCCTTGACAGTCAGGCCTTGGCTGTGGTCAGCCAGGAGGTCTGGGTTGAGGCTGGCAGGACCGACAGGCCTGGCCCTTGTACTGCACAGCAACCTTGCCTGTGCCATTCAGGTGGCACGCACCTACGAGGAGAACAAACAGGGAGCCCAGCTTCCAGAGACAGCTCTTTCCCTTAATAAAGTAATTACAGAGCTGGGTAAGTTACATCCCTAGAAAGATGCAGGGCAACCGCAGGCTGGGGTGTGTATGTTTAATTTTAAATCCTCCAACCTTCCCTTAATGAGGGGGTGCCTTCAAATGTAACAGAATGGTGGAATTCTTCAAAGGCTTCATTTTCTTGGTGCTTTATTTCTTTAAGGGAAAGCATGAAAGACAAATGAGGACTGGCAGGAGCAGGGGAGGGTTTTTGCCTCCCCCGCCCGTGTTATGCAGACATTATCTGCTGTAAAACTGTCGCCGAAGGATGGAGAACCAGCTCTTGGCTGCAGAAGTCCTCAGATAATGTCAGTGCTGAGCAATGACCCAAGATTCGTTGGCACTGAGCAAACAGCTTTTGGCTTCTGGTGCCAGAATCTTTAGCTGAGCCTGGTCAGCCACTCCGGCCAGGGGAATGGAGATGGTGTCCAGGGGCCCCACGGTGTCCAGGGGCCCCACGGTGATGGCTCAAGAGCCCTTTTTTTTTTTTTTTCAAATGTTAATATCCCTTTTAATCACCTGGGGATCCTGTAAAAAGGCAGATTGATTCAGGAGGTCTGGTGCAAGCCTGAGATGCCGCATTTCTAACCAGTTCCTGATATAATCCCTGCATTTTGAATGAAAAGGCCCTAAGGAAGGCAGGCACTGGCTTCCATGGCTCCCACCAGGTGGTTTTGGCTGAGCAGAACACCTGGAAAGGGAAGGCTGTATGGGCCTCCAGAGGGGCTTGAGCACTCTAAGGTCTGCAGTATGGAAGAGAGAAATGTCTTCAAGAAACGATCTACTTGGGTTTGGCGTATGGCTTTGCCTCTTTTGCCCCTTTAGGTTTACTTTTCAAATAATGCTCGGGTAAAGCCTGTGGAGAAACTGAGTCTGTAGGCCTTGAGCTCCTCACCGGGCAGCCCCTGATGGGGAGGGAGGGCAAGCTCAGTATTTGAGGCCCTTGACCTGCCTCAGAGTGTGATGGGGAGTTGATTTGGGTTGTGTCCACGTTGGGCTCCTGAGCTTCCTAGTGTGGTCAGATAATCCTCTCCTGCTCTCCTGGTTTCCTAGGTCCCTGGATGAGAAGGAGCTGACAGCAGCTGAATTGCATCTTCTCTGTGTGCTGGGGAGCAGGGCTACACGCCCCAGGTGGCATCAATGCCGAAGAACAGCAAAGTGACCCAGCGTGAGCACAGCAGTGAGCATGTCACTGAGTCGGTGGCCGACCTGCTGGCCCTCGAGGAGCCTGTGGACTATAAGCAGAGCGTACTGAATGTGGCTGGCGAGGCAGGCGGCAAGCAGAAGGCAGTGGAGGAGGAGCTGGACGCAGAGGACCGGCCGGCCTGGAACAGTAAGCTGCAGTACATCCTGGCCCAGATTGGCTTCTCTGTGGGCCTTGGCAACATCTGGAGGTTCCCCTACCTGTGCCAGAAAAATGGAGGAGGTAAGAGACAGCTCTGCCTGCATCAGGGGTCCCCTGCAAATAGGCTGGGCTGAGGGTGAAAAAGAACACCCCTTTGCTGAGGCAGAACTGGAGCCCTTGTAGGTTGGAGCTCAGGATTCCAGAGTAAGATGCCCCAGGAATGGCTATAATGATGGTTAGTAGCTACCAAGAGACTACAGGACATGATAAGAAAGTGGGCTCTGGCTCCAGACTGCCTGGGTTCAGATTCCAGCCCTGCCAATCAAATTTTGGACCTCCTACAAATTGCTTAACCTCTCTGTGCCTCATCTGCAAAATGAGAATAATAGCAGTTCCTGCCTTACAGGATAGTTGGGAGGATTAAATGAGCTTTACGTGCAGAATGGGCAACACACGACCGGACACGGTAAGGGGCACCTGTTGGCCATTATTACTAAATGCTTACGAGGTGCTAGGCACTGTTCTAAGGCTTAATGGATATTAGGGCTAAGTGCCTGAAGCTGCTGATATTTGAGCATCTTAGAACAACCAAAGCACCAATTTTATGTGATTCAACCATCGAATCTTCCCAACAGCCTTATATGAAGGAGTTGTTAGCGTCTTTGTTTTAGAGACTACAATACTGAGGCACAAATTGGTTAGATAACTTGTTCAAGGTTGTGTGTGACCAAGGTTACAGCTAGTGATAAAGTCAGGATTCAAACCTGGACAGGCTTGCCCAGAGCCTGGGCACTTAGCCTCCACACCTACTGCCTCTGGGTAAGAGGGGCCTTCACACTGTCCCCTAGGCTTGAATCCCTCTTGAGGATGTTGCCCCTGGTATCAAACCACTACCACCACTTCCAGCCCCCAGGAATTGTCCAAAGGCAGCTTTTCCTGAAACCAGGGATCAACTAACTAAAAATAAAGAAAACCCAATAGGCTGGAAACAAAGAGATTTGCAAGCCCAGACCTCTGGTCCTGAGAAAATCAACTAGCGAGAGCTCTTGTGTTCCTGAATCCCTGTGCCTGGCGTGGCATGCTCCAGCCTGTTTGGTGGCCCCAGCTTGGCAGGCATTTTACTCCAGCTCCTTCCTTCCTTCCTTGGTTGTGGAACTCTTGCCATGTAGCCTCTTCCAAAGACGTAGTCCCCTCCTCTCCAGGATGCGCCTTTCCCTAGTTCAGAAGGCCACGTTTGACTGGGAGGCTTCTCCTCCTTTCCAGTTTCTTTTGAAGGGCAGAGAGTGAGAATGCCCACCTGAACTCTTGTGATTGAATTAGGCCAAAGGCTTCCATCTTTCCCCCATAGCAAGCTATATTAGCTGCATAGTCTCCATGCTTGAAAGATCTTTTTTACTTCTTAATAAGTAGCTGTCGATCAGAGCTTGTAGCCTGCGTGGCATGATAACTGAGTTGATATAAGACTAGCCCAAAGCAAAGATATAAAAGTGTATAGTTTCCTTATGCACTGTGAGATGTCGAGAAGAGCTCCAAGGCGCCTAAAATGACTTCAAAGGACATGTGGCATTGGAGGACTTAGCTGGGAATCTCTAACCTTGTTCTCTCTAGCTTAGATGATCAGTTCTGCCTGGGCACTTGGTGATGAATTAGAGTCCCTTTCTATACCACACACAAGCACTCACACCCAGGGCGGTGTTCTTGCCACAGTCTGACTGTTCACAATGACACCAGTCACCATGGCACCAGACATAAAGAACTACCCTAGAGGAAAAGCATTGTCAGTTCTCAGAATTCTGAGCTTTCCATTCCACATTCCTGCCTTCCTTTTTCTATCTTCTCTGATTCCTGCAATCCCACCTTTTATAGTCTATCCGCTTTGAACTGTCCCATATTTTTACAGGCTTTTTGTTTTTTTTTATTTGAGACAGAGTCGTTGCACTTTCCCGCCAGGGGTGGCTGGACGTGCAGCTGGCCGGATCTCAGCTCACTGCAGCTCGCGCCTCCCTACGGGGTTTAGCCATTCTCGACTGCCTCAGCTCCTGAGTAGCCTGGGACTCTCCACAGGTGGCCTGCACCCGATTGCCCCGGCTAGTTTTTTGGTATTCTTTGAGTAGCAGACAAAGGGTTTCCACCGTGTTCACGCAGGGGTGGTCTCGAATCCCTCCTCACCTCATGATCACGCCCCGTCTCCGGCCTGCCAGCCAAAGTCTGGGATTACACGCTTCGAGCTACGCCGCGCCGGGGCCTTTTTTTTTTTTTTGTTTTTTTTGAGGGCAAGCAGTCTCGCTCTGTCGCCGCCAGTCTGGAGTCGCAGTGGTGGGTCTCAGCTCATGCAAGCGTCTGCCTCCTCGGGTTTGACGCATTACTCTCCTGCCTCAGCCTCCTGAGTAGGCTGGGAGCTGGACAGGCGCCCACTTAACCTCACAGCCGGCTAGTTTTTTGTATTTTTTAGCAGAAGGTCCGGGGTTCACTGGTAGGCTCAGGATGCCTTCGGTCGCCTCTCTGCACCCCACCATGATCTCGCGCCCCGTCCTCGGCCGTCCCCCAAAGTGCTTCGGGATTACAGGCTTGAGGCCACCGCTCACGGGCCCCTCTTTACAGGTTTTTGTTTGTTGTTTGTTTTGTTTGACGACGGAGTCTCATAGCAAGATCGTCTTAAATAACTTTTTTCATTAGGAGGAGGCAAAATATCACAGAAGCAAGACAACTGTTTGGTCTGAGAGTTGAGCTCTGTGCTTTTGAGCATAAGTTGATCTACATCAAACTTTGCATAGTTCTGGACAGAAACTCTGGAACACTCTCCTTAGCTCCACGAAATGTTGACATCTCCCTAGTTTGCTTTTCCTTCTGTTTATTTTTATGAGAAAAAGGCAAGTGTTCAACCATTGCTTACTATGGGTAAGCCACTCATTCAATCTTTGCAACAGCCTTGTGTGATAGGTGTTGGGTCAAAGCTTATGAAATGGCCATTTTTGTAAGTCAAAAATGGTCAAATATCAGCAATTTTATACGTAACATTTTCATCCTCTTCAACCAGATGAGAAAACAGCAGCACAGAGAGATCAAATATTTTCCCAAAGTTGCACAGCTAGTAAGTCATTAAAACCAGGAGGTCTGACTTCAGGACCTGGCTCTTACCACCAAGATGGTCTTTTAAACCCCAGGAATAACCTCAGGGTTTGCCAGAAGTGAGGCTTAGAATACTGACCGAGGCATAGATGATAAGAGATCCAGAAGGCCTCAGAGATCCTGGATCCTGGCCCTGTCCTGATAAATCTCCTAACATCCTGGACAGTGCTCCCCGCTATTTGGATGAACAACTTGAGGCTCCCAAAAGCTGTTGAAACATAAAAGGAAATCCAGTTGTGTCCCCAGGTTGTATTTTCTAAGGCAGAAGAGGGTGCTGTTGCATTTTCTAGTGATTGCAGCAAAGGTTGATATGAAAAAGTACCTCTGATTAACCACAGATTCTGCCTATCTTGACCGTGGCCCCCTGAGCGCTCTGGTTAGTTTAGGCTTTGGAGTGGTAGAGAGACCTGTAGTCAACTCAGGGCTGGCAGCCTGCCTGAGGTGGACAGAGCCTGGATGGTGAGGGGCCAGTACCTTGTCTTTGCACTCCCACCCCTGTCACTCTTTGGCAGCAGTTACCTGGAGGCTTGCCCTGATTCTTTGGGGAGAAAAAAGAGGCATCCATAGTAGGTGCCAACCCACTTTGCAGACACCCTGAAACTCACCTCCCTGCACATCTTGCCCCACCCAGAACACTGGGGCGAAATACAAAACCAGTGAGGCTATCTCCCTTTGCCCTCCTGCAGCAGATCACTTAGCTCCTCTTCCATTTCCCCACACCCAAGACCAAGAGACTGAGTTAAAGACAGACCCAGGGGTCTAAGCATGTGGCCCTTTGGGCCCTCTCTCCTTTGAGCACCATGATGGGACTGCTTGTTAGTGACGAGTTGAATGTATGTGTGCATGTGTGCATCTAGTGGGTGAGATGCTGTCCTATAAAGCTCGGTGGGTTGCCTCCCCAGAAGGTTTTCCTGATTAGCTCCATGGGACCTTGGCCCCTTCCTCAGCATGTATGTGCTTGGTTGGCCTGTGTGACTAGTCTTTGCGGGGGGGGTGTGTGTGTATACACATGCGTGCTCATATTACTCATGTGACTCTGCCTGCCTCCCCAGCAGATCGTGAACCGTTCTAGGATGGTGTCTGTGCCTTCTGTTACTCCACTGTCCCCTGCTGCATGTGCATGGCACAGAGTGGACCTGCAGTAAATAGTTAATTGTTGCCAAGTGGCAGAATTTGTGCCTAGGAGATGCCCGATTGCCAGTGTTCATTGGCAGATTGGGCACATGTTGGTGAATATGTGGGATGTTATGTTATGGGGTCAGAGCAGTGTATCTGGGGGCTTCTGGAGGCTCTCTACTGGCAAGGCTTAGTCAGAGAGTGCTGGGTGACCATCAGGGCCCTGGTGACAGGGGCTGGCCTGACAGTGTTTGACAGATAGGCAGGGCCTTGCTAACAGGACTAGGTTGTTGGCACAGCTCTCAGCGGGGTGCACTCATCTGTGTCCAGACATGGTTTTAATTCTCCTGCTAAATGCCCTGTCACTTGGAATTGAGATTGTTTCTGCAGTGAGGCCCAGGACAGGACAGCAAGATTAATTTATCATCTGGAATCTTTAGCGAGACCCATTCTATCCTTTATGATCCTCCTGGCCACGCTTTTCTGAACTGCTAATTTCTCTCCCGTTCCTCTCAATTAGCTGGAGATTAATGGCAAAGCTGGTCAGGCCCCCCTCTCCCTGGAGAGCTTCCAAGCTCTGCTTCCGTGGAGCTGCCCAGTCTGCTGCATCAGCGTCTGGTTCAGACTCTGGGAAGGCTGCACCCAGTGTCTGTACGTCTGGGGGCGAGTAAGCCCCCATGCCATCTGCGGCTGCTTCTCTGTGGGCAGCAGGGGGTGTGAACAGGTGTCCACGGAGCACCTCATGAGGTGAGTATGTCTGCCGCTTGTGACTTGACATGTGGATTCTGGAGAAGCAGTGCAATGTCTGTCTGTTTCTGAACCTAGCCTTGTGAGTTGACATACATACACTTCCTGCCTTAGTGTTTCAGGTCAGGGGAGCCAAGGGGGGGAAGGTGGGTCCCGGTGGGCTGCTGTGTGGTAGGCCACGCTTAGGGCCAGATCATTCACGGAGGAGCACCGAGACTGGTGACAACTTGCGGATGACCAGAGATGTGGCTGAGACTGGAGGACATGGCTGTAGCGCCTTCCCGCACTCTGCTGCTGTGCTCCAGAGCCCCTCTGCCATCCCTCTGCTCTCCCTGCAGGTGCTTACCTGGTGCCCTACCTGGTGCTGCTGATCATCATCGGCATCCCCCTCTTCTTCCTAGAGCTGGCCGTGGGCCAGAGGATCCGCCGCGGCAGCATTGGTGTGTGGCACTATGTGTGTCCCCGCCTGGGGGGCATCGGCTTCTCCAGCTGCATAGTGAGTCAAGGGCTGGGGCAGGCACTGAGCGGGAGGCAGGGGGCTGCTCCTGGGCATTGGAGAGGAGGTCACCGAGTTTCCAGGCCAGAGTCCTACATCAGGACAAGGGCAGGGAGGGGGATTCTCAACATGGGAATTACTCACAGCTGGGGTTCCAAGACCCCAGTCACCATGTTTCCTAAACTGAAAGTCGACCACATTGCCTGAAACAGTGTGGAAGATTTGCCACTGGTGCTAAGGAGGAAAAGCTGGGACATATTCACGTGGGGCCACCTGGGACAGCTCAGCCAGAGTTCTCTGGGGACATATGGACTAGCCCAGATGCCCTTCTCTGCTTACCAGTCCCTCAGCTCCCCATGAGGGAGGTCCCTCCTCTTTCCTTGGTCAAAGAGTATTTTAATAAGGCAAGTAGGGAGCTCAGGAAAAGGCAGGCCTGGGGCTCTGGGTCTCTTTGCCATTTTGCTGTGCCAAAGAGCAGAGTTGGAGAACTCACACAGGAAACTTAAAGTCAACCCAAGGCGGATGACGCTTTGGAAAGTGAGAGACAGGGAGACTCCCGTGGCCCTGGATGGAGAACTTTGTGAGGTCTCCAGGCTCATCCACAAGGCTACAGACGAGACCCTGCTCAGAGCTCTAGATGAGGAAACAGCATCCCTTAAGGGCAAAGCCTATAGGGGCCCATGCTTACTGCTCACACCTGGGATAAAGACTGGAATGAACTTCTGGAAGGGACTAAGGATTCTACCAGGCCTGGCAGTAGGGCCAGCCCAGACTTGCCTCAGGCAGAGACTGGGAGAAGGCCTATTGCAGCCCCCTGCTCTCGTGTCAGCCATCAGCTTTGCACTGGCCAATGCCATGTATTCTGCTGGGGCTGGCTGTGTGCTGATACACAGGAGTGTGTGTATGGTCTCCCACTTGTACTGAAATCACACAAGTAAAGGAAGTGGGCGTCTCACTCTGTCTGTGCTCCCAGAAAGTTCTGCTGTATGAGCAGCTGCTCCTGCACACACATGCTCAGGTGAGACTGATGAAGCAAGTGGCCCTCAGCTCTCACACTGACGCCCGTCTCACTGCCGCAGGAGACAGTCATGGCTCTGGAAGGGACCACTCTGTGTCCAGAGTGGATGCAGCAGATCCCTGCCCATAGAAACATTCCTTTCAAAGAAGCCCCTTGGACCCTCAGGCAGAGTCTATGCACTCCTATTTTAAATAAAATTCGACTAAAGTTAGTTATTGTGTTTCCAAGAAATGACAAGAGCCATCTTTCTAGAGGCGGGCTGCTAACACGCCCGAGAGAGAGTAGAATCCACAAGAAACACCCAGAGAGTCTCTAAAAGCACAGCAATCTGGATCTGTTTACCGTAGGGGTCAAAGCTGTGCGTGCCTTCACAATCCTGGAGGGCATCTCTGCCATTACCATCCCGAGTCATCAGGAAATGAGGAGGAGAAAGGACTTCAAGTATCTTAGAAGAATTTCAAACTGGAAAGGATTAACATTTTGAGTTTGTTGCTTAAAAGAGAGAACTTTAACATCTGAAAAATTCCTTTGTGGATTCCCTGAATACCAGATGAATGGAGCGTGAGGGGAGCTCCTCCACGGCCCACACCCCATCCCTCCTTGCCTCCCTTGAGGCTGTGCTGCTGTGTTCTGTGTCTCTGCCCATGTGCTGGGCCTCGGGTTGGGCGTGGGGGCAGGGTGGAGTTGCCTGCAGCCTCAGTGACCCCGCAGCGGGCTTGTCCCCAGGTCTGTCTCTTTGTGGGGCTGTATTATAACGTGATCATCGGGTGGAGCATCTTCTATTTCTTCAAGTCCTTCCAGTACCCGCTGCCCTGGAGTGAATGTCCTGTCGTCAGGAATGGGAGCGTGGCAGGCAAGTATGGGGCCCAGCTGGGGATGCCAGCCAGCCCTGTCCCAGGAAGGGGTCTCACAGGCTTAGCGCACACATTTGGAATTTCAGACTTTTTGTGTCACCTTGGATAAGTCACTTAACATCTCTGATCCTCATTTCCCCTTCCCCAGTGGGAATGGTCTCTTTTCCAGCCTATTTCTGACAGGATTGAATACAATAATGAGTGTAGGTGAAACTCTGGAAAGTGTGACTTTAATTGTTATTACTCACCCTGTTATTCCACTGCACAGATGAGGAAACCGAGGCCCAGAAGCGACTTTCCCATGTTCACACCACTCATCTAACCAATGATCTGGGATGAGAATCCAGGTCTCTAGCTCCCAGCTCAGGACCTTCCCCAAGGAACTTTAGGCCAATTCAGCCTCACGTTTCCTCCCTTCCATGGAGAGACGTGGGCAGCGGGAGGCATGGGTGGGAATCAGCCAGGCCGGTGTGTCCTGAAGCCTCCCAGACCCCACTGGGAGCCTAGGATTCCTCAGGGTCTGCCAGATCCTGGCTAACCCAGAATGAGCACAGCCCCTCCCAGCTGCGCACCCTCAGCTGCTCCCTCACCCACTACTGCCCTGAGTGGGGGTCCAGCAGAGGAAGTGACCCCATAGTCCCCGCCACTGAGGCCCTGTGACCTTTGCTGCTATTTCAGTGGTGGAAGCAGAGTGTGAAAAGAGCTCAGCCACTACCTACTTCTGGTACCGAGAGGCCTTGGACATCTCTGACTCCATCTCGGAGAGTGGGGGCCTCAACTGGAAGATGACCCTGTGCCTTCTCGTGGCCTGGAGCATCGTGGGGATGGCTGTTGTTAAGGGCATCCAGTCCTCGGGGAAGGTGAGTGCTGGGGGGCACCCAGGACCCAAATGGGGAACAGCAGAAAGGCACAGAGGGCACAGGGCAAAGAATTCCAGGCTGCCCCTTACAGGGTCTTCCAGGGGGGTTTGGGCTGTAGATGGCTCTGGTTGATGACACGGGCCCCCAGAGGAGGGCGTGGAAGTATCATTTCTATAGTATTGCTCACCATGGACAGCCCACCCGGAATGGAATAGCTAGAAAGTCATTGCCCTGGACCCCAGCCGCTTCCATGCTCAGATAACTCAGGCCTGCTCTAATGCAAACATTAGAGAAGAGGAAAACTAGAAGTATTGACCCAGGGACATCTGTCTAGATTCTAGACCCTCAGGTTCCCAAGAGCAAAAGCCCTGGAAGAACCAGCTTTGAGCAGTTTTTGGTGAAAACCAGCAGCTTGCCATGACTACAGCTAAAGGGCCCTTTGAGCAGGTAGATGCTATAAGTGAAGGGGGCCTTGGAGGTTTCAGGGGGCAGCTCCATAGCAGTCTCTGAGGGGTAGACCAGCCAAGCCCCACACCTCTTCCCAGCATTTCAGATCCCCTTTAAATAAGGGCCCTTTCTTACTTGTCACCTATCAGTATTCATGTGCTGCCAGTGATGGAAAGGACTGGATTAGAGATCCTGTATCCCAGGCTACTCATTTTACAGATGAGGAAAGTGAGGCCCAGAGAGGGGAAAGCACCTCAGCTAACATCACGCAGCCAGTCAGTCTCAGAGCTGCAGCTAGAACCCTGGCTGTTTGAGGCTTCAGGTTCTTTACTGGATTTGATGAGCAAGGAAGCTAAGCTCTTGAAAGGTAGAGTGACCCCAGCCACTGACCTCTTCCCTTTCCAGAGGCTGAGATAGTAGCTGATGCTTCATGGCACTTCTCAGGTACTGCCACCCATGAACGCATTTGGTCCACAGCAACGTTATGAGTTGGGGATGATTCCACCTATTTTAGAGATGAGGAGATGGAGGCTCACGGAGGTTAAATGAAATGCCTGAGGTCACATGTTGGTAAATGGTAGAGCCAGGGTTACAAGTCAGGCAGCCTAACACCAGACATGCATTCTCTTAGCCTTTACACCACCCTGCCCAAACAGCCCTCTTCCTTTGTTTCAGTGCAGCAAACATTTTGTGAGCATCTGTTTTGTGTGAGGCTGCGTACCACGCGCACAGGGATATAGACATGTGCGAGAAATGTGGTGCTAGAGAAGAGCACACGATTCATCCTCACAAGGGGCTAGGGACTTCTTCAGATGTCTTCTGCTTGGGAGCCGTGTCTATAACCTCCTGCAGGTCTTCCGTGAAAGGAGCTCTAAGGACAGGGGAGATCCTTAGGAGGCCCACTGGGGGAGTGAGACATGGGAGAATCAGGAGGGGACAGCAAAGGACTCCCTCACCCTCTTGGCAGCCCTCTGGGGTGAGGAGGCTGTTAGCTCAGCCCTGCCAGCTCTGGAAAGGAGAAAACCAACCCCAGGCACAGCAGCCATGCAGACTCCAGCTTGTCCTGTTCCTGCTTCTGCCTTGGCTCCCTACCAGATGTGTGGCAGGCTTGGCCCTATGCCCAGGGGTTCCAGGGCTCTGCTTTCTGCTGCCATCAGGAGCAGCTCATGTGCCCCAGATGTGAGCAGGGATGGGGGTACCAGCTGCAGGAAGGGCTCTGCCTGATGGGGGGTGCCTATCCTCTCTGCAGGTGATGTATTTCAGCTCCCTCTTCCCCTACGTGGTGCTGGCCTGCTTCCTGGTCCGGGGGTTGTTGCTGCGAGGGGCAGTTGATGGCATCCTACACATGTTCACTCCCAAGGTAAGGGTTTGGGGCTCCCACATGCCAGGGAACAGCAACAGGTCTACTGGGCCTGGTCAGCTTCATGCAATTTCATGGAATTTAATGCACTCCAAATACCTGCTATATGTTGGGTATTGTGCCAGGCCCTGGAGAGATGCACAGGGAAGGGGGCATGGGCCCTGCCCTCTTCCAAAGAGAGGCATGTCACATCGATTTGGGTGAAATTAGAAAAGCTTCAGAAAGGTGGTAACAACTGAAAGAGCCTTAGGGAACAGGTAGGATTGCAGTGAACTGCCAAAGGACATTATAATCAAAGGGAACTGCATGAGCAGGGGTGTGGAAAAACACTGGACATGCTTGAGGCAACAGTGGGAAGTCAGGTTTGGCTAGGGCATGAGAGCAGGGAGCTTCATTCATTCATTCATTCATTCATTCATTCATGGGGGCTTTCATTGTGTGGCAGCAGGAACCAAGAAGATGCCTAAGAGAAGAAAGCTCCTGGGAATCTCCCCTTGTATCCAAATCAAAGGAAAGAAGCCGCTATTTTATTAAAGATAATAGACTACATGAGTGGTGATTTTAACCTTAGCAAAGCCATTCACACTTCCTCTTAATTCCCTCAATAGCCCAGGGAGCAAGATGAGCAGGATCACTGTTCACATTTCATGAAGGGTGCAGCAGAGGCATGGGCATCCTGAAGATGTATATGCAGGTTCCCTAAAGATGGTCTGTCTCCACCCATGGCCTTGCCTGTCTATGACCCTTCAGACCACTGGGCACAACTGGCATGCCTCAGTCCATGGACGAATAAAAGATTTTCAAATGCAGATTGGCATTCCCTTCAAGTTGCCCCAAGCCATGTACACTGGCAACCCCAGCTGGTCAGGGTGAGAGTCCATCTCCAAATGCCAGCTGATCAGTAGCAACCAGCAGGGACCTGGTGAGATTATAGCCCATGGGCACAGGGTCAGAGCTCAGCCAGGCCAGCTTGAATTCTTCAGTGTTCATTGGTGCCACCTTGCACATGTGTGTACACACACACCCCTTTACACAAACAGTTTGTGCAGGATGACACAGGAAGAAGAACCCAGATCTGATAGGGTTGGAAATCCCCGTAGGCTCCTGATGTTTCGGGTGTAGCACTGGTTAGGGCACATGCCACTCCATAGTCACCAGACAGTGCCTAAATGGTCCCTCAGTGTTCTTGGATATATTATCTGAGGTTTACACATGACCAACTTCAAAGATCCACTTTATGAAGCACTTAATGAATCTCCTGAGGCATGAATGTGAATCCTGAGCCATGTGGCTGGCCGTAGGGTTGTTGTAAACACATGATATCTGACAAAGAAAAAAAAATAACCTGGTTTCTTTGGGAGAAAATAGCCATGAAAAGAAAGCCAACTGTTTGTAACAAATTACAACTGTATCTCTAGAACCATGATCAGTCTAAAATGTTCACTTCAGTTTTCCAGTTCTACTTTACTAAACTTTAGGAGGAAATTATATGCTCTGGTGTTGTTCCTAAGTGTGGAACATCACAAAGGTCTCCAGATGGGCTCCTCAATGGTGTTAAGAGCCACCTGTATGTAACTCTAGGAGCAAGAGGAACAGAGTCATAGGAGCAGCTGCTGGTCTCAACACACACAATACTGCTCCCCACTGGATTCAGACACACTTTAAATTATCTCTTTAATTATGAAATATCTCAGGCGTATAAACACATATCTAATAATATAATAAAAATTCTTAGGAAATAAAATATTACAGATGCCATTAAATTGCCAGTGTAGCTCTCCCTGATCCCATTCCCTTCCCTGCCCAAAGATAGCAACTGTCTTATTCCATTCCTGCTGCTACAACAAAAATTCTTTAGACTGGATAACTTATAAACAATTGAAATTTATTGCTCACAGTCCTGGAGGTTGGGAAGTCCAAGATCAAGGCACCCAGCTTCAGTATCTAGTGAGGACTCTGCTTCAAAGATGGCACTTTCTCACTGCATCCTCACATGGCAGAGGTTCAGGGGAACTCACTTGAGCCTCTTTTTATAGGGGCACTAATCCTGTCAGGGCTCCACTGTCATGACCTAATCACCTCCCAAAGACCCCCACCTCTTACTTAATACTATCACACTGAGTATTAGGTTCTGTCATGGGAATTTTGAAGGGATACTAACATTCAGATAATAGCAGCCACTATCCTAAATTTGGGATTTGTCTTGATCATACATTCTTTGAAATTTGTTATACATATATGTGTATCCATAAACAATGTTTAGCATTTCTGCATACTTTTAACCTTTACATAAATGGCATCATATTATATGTATTCTGCAACTTGCTTTTATTTTTGCTTCACATGAGTTTTTAAGATTTACCAATTTTGGTGTATAGCTCTAGTGCATCAGTTTTCATGGATGCATAGTATTTTGCTGTAGGACTAAACTGAAATTTGTTTATTCATTCTTTAGTTAATGATCATTTAAATTGTTTCCAGTTTTCACCATTGCTAATAATGTTACAATAAACACTACGCAGGTCTTCATGCATACATGTTTCTCTACGGTATCTATGTTTAGGAGTAGAATTGCTGTCTCAAAGGGTATGCACATCTTCAGTCTTATTCGATGTTGACTAAATTGCACTCCCAAATGGTTGTATCTGCTATCACTCCCACAAGTTGTACATGAAAATCCCAGTTGTTCTACATTTGTCAGTCTTCAATTTTTGCCAATTAGATGGGTGCAAAATGGTTTATGTACACTTTCCTTTCCCTCTCCTCTCCTCTCCTCTCCTCTCTTTCCTCCCTTCCCCTCCCCTCCCCTCCCCTTCCACTTCCTTTCCTTTCTTTTTTGAGGCGGAGTTTTGGTCTTGTAGCCTAGTCTCGAGTGCAATGGCGCGATCTTGGCTCGCCGCAACGTCCGCCTCCCGGGTTCAAGCTATTCTCCTGCCTCAGCCTCCCGAGTAACTGGGATTACAGTCATGCGCCACCACATTCGAGTAATTTTGTATTTTTAGTAGAGACAGGGTTTCTCCATGTTGGTCAGGCTGGTCTCGAACTCCTGACCTCAGGTGATCTGCCCGCCTTGGCCTCCCTAAGAGCTGGGATTACAGGCGTGAGCCACTGCGCCTGACCTTGGGGTGCTTCTTTCTAAAACGGTTTCCAGGATGTTCAGGAAACCATGTGAATCCACTTTGGCATTTGCAGAGGCCAGGGTCTTCGTGAGACTTTAAAAAATCAAATCCAGGAGCCAGGTGCAGTGGTGTGTGCCTGTAATTTCAGCTACTTGGGAGGCTGAGGTGGAAGGATCCCTTGAATCTAAGAGTTAGATACCAGCCTGAGTAACAGTAGTGAAACCGCATCTCCAAAAAGTAATTAATTCATTAAAAATCAACATAAAAATAAAGTGACTCTCCTGAAGCTACACAGCTGGCAAGAAGCAGGGGAAAACCTGAACTCATGTCCACAGACTCCACATCCCATGCTCTCCAGCTGATAAACTGGCTTCATGAAAATTGGTGGCTGAGAGCCAGGTGGCAAGAGTGGAGGGTTAAATAAAAATGTCCCCTACCTTACAATTTCATCTAAAACCGTTCCTTCTTATATTCCTGGGAATGGCTAAAAACAAACCCACATTTTGGGAGATGGGCAGGAGAGGTTTTGCAGGAACAAAAACCCCAGCACACTACTGCTAATCTGCCTTTCCCCATCTCATACCCCATGGTTGAGCTGAGCTGGCTGAGAAGGAAGCTCTGGGGGGCTCCATCCAAGCCCCCTCAGGGAGTCAAGCAAGTGAGGCCAATGGTGATGGCTGGGGTGAGGTTCCTATTTACAAATCCCTCCAAGTCATCTGCAGAAGGATGGGCCAACTCTCAGAAACAAATGCCTGACAGTCTATATGTGGCAAACTACTGTTGCAGAGCTGTGACTGTTTCAGCACAGAACTGGGGAGATATGAGGGGTCTTAGGAGCCATTTCGAGTTCTTGCCCTAGAATGGTGCTATAAAGTACCAGCTCAATGCCCTAGCTGCCCATGCTGTGCACTGCTCCGTTCATATAGACTATAATGTAAATGACATCCCCAAGGGTCATGCTGTCTGGTACCTCTGGCAAAGTCCAAGAGTTTTTGGCCAGGGCATCTCAGAATCCCTGTGGGAGAAGCATTGGCTCTCCATAGATTATGCTCAATGACCTGGAAGGTCTTCCCTTCCATAGAGCCTTCCAACATCGGAAATTATTCAGGCTATCAGATTTGGACTTTGCAGTCCATGTCTTCAAGCAGTTACTGGGTATGATGAATGCAATGTGGCCAGGCTGCCATGATGACCCACTAGCATCATTGATAGGACAGTAACTCGTGGTGACGGCTAATGAACTTCTTGAATTCCTTGGGCAGCTTTTCTCCTGATTACTTTCTTTCCATGTAGGTAAAAACCCAGGTCAGCATGGGATACCATGCAATTAAATTAATCATGTGATTTGTTCAATATAAAGTGGTAGACTATGGTAGGATTTTTAACCATCAAAATGTTCAGAGAATGTTTATCAAAATTACAACTGTTCATGTCCTTCAGCCCAATTTAACTTCTACATATTTGTCCTACAGATGTACTTATACATAAGCAAAATGATTAGTGTACAATGTAATGTAATGACCAACATTGCTCATTACAGCATTTGTTTTAGTGGAAAAAGATTGAAAACAACCCAAATAACCACCATTCACCTATTCATTCAACAAAGGTTTATTGAATGCCTGTTACATGCACTGTTCCGAGTCCTGGGATCCAGCAGTGAACAAAGCAGACAGACTTCCTGGTCCTCATGGGAGCTTACGTTCCGGTGGAGGGAGACAGATGTTATCAGATAATATAAGATAGAGAATTGTCATTAACTGTTGATGCCAAGGGGAAAAATAAAGCAGAGAAAGAAGATTTAGGGCATTCGGGGAGAAGAGTTGCACTTATGGACAGTATGGTCAAGAAACGCCTCACTGAGCAGTGACATATGAATGA